AGAAAAAAACATTCATTACATTGCTGTTAAAGTATCAGTCATAACACTATGCTGGCTACTTAGACGCAAAGAGGTGCTGAAAAAGACGTTTTACTTCTATATCACCAGTACAGCATCAATTTTCCTTTACACAGCTGTTACTGGAATATTATAAAAACCAGACAAAAATATTTCTTCCACACGTGCTTTTCCCACGGTGAAGTGCCATTAATATGCCAACCAAACAGGTACATTTTTGTCGGAAATACTACAGACGGCTCAAGCTGAAGAAACAGGCAGTTCTCCAAGTAGAGAGACAAACAGCAGAAAAGAACTCTCTCCAATTTACAGCCCCTCTTTTGCACGGGAGAAAAAAAGGTATCAGTGGATATATACCCAAGACTAAGAAAAACTAATCCAAATAGAAAGCATAGAGTCTTAAAAGAATTTAAAAGCCATAACTTTTACCCACCTTTTGAGTGATCATGACCTTTAAAGGGTCTCTTAAAATGTTTTTTATACTTTTTACGCTTACGTCCTTTTTCAGTGCAAGCAATTTTTTGGGAAAAGGATAAAATTCGAGTTAGTGAAACACAAGTGTAAGAAAGCATAGGGAAAGATAAGGAAGTTCAGCTTGTCTGAAAGCAGAATGCCTTAGTAAGGTCTCATTAAAAGCTTTTAAAGAATTTCAGACCTGTTAAGAAAGCAATCAGCTACTTCTCATAGCACAGAGACATATTTTTCTTAGTTTATGTATACCCAAACTGACTTTCAAGGAAGCAACTGAAGCCTTGCTTTTTTTTTTTTTTTTAAAAAAAAACAACTTTAACAACTTTAAGTATGCAAATTTCTACTGGATCGATCTTCCTGCTAATAGCAAGGTCGAGGTAATTAATTCAACTTTGATATATCTCTTAACGTATATCTCAAGAGTTCAAGGAATTAGAAATAATCTGGTTATGTTTACTTCTCAGCAAACATAACCAGACTTCTTCACAAGGGCACTGCATAACATAATTCCAGATCACTTAGGTATAAAAGAGCTAAAAACAGAACCATGACTGCTTATTAGATACCCAGGTAAGTTTTTCTCTAATCCAAGATTATTTTTTTTTTAATTAATGACTTCAAGCAAAACCATAATTATTAACTGAGCAGCTAATAATACATATATGGTAAAAAAAAAAAAATAAATTGAAGTTTAACTCCAGAAGAGGCTTCTACCATAGAAGGGTATACCTTCGAGGTTAAGGTAGTTGGAAACCCAAAGAGCACTTTTCAATATGATGCTCATGCTAATCAACAGCGTGGCAGGAAAGTGTTCTGAAAGAACGGCAGCAGCAATTGCAAAAAAGGCATTCTAAAATCATGGCTCTTTAAAAGCTTTTTATGAAATTAACACACAAGTTACAACACACACAATCACAACCAGTTCATAACATAAATTAATACTATATTTTTCCATATTTCTAAAGAAAACCCATTTGGTGAGTTGCATAGTTTCCTTCCCCTCTTCAGCCATATAGGAGAAGAGAACTTGGCAACAGGGCTGCCTGCACTGAGCTTTACGAGGTTGTAACATGAGAAGGGTGTAGCCTATTAAAGAAAGAAGGAAACAAGTGCAATGGCATATTCAACTCCAGGGAACAACTTTCTGTAATTTGCATGCCTGTTCAAACAAAGGAGGAGTAACTGCCTGCCAAGATTCCCACCTGTCTGGTGGGTAGTGTGATCACCCTACAAATAACAAAAAGGACAAACAATGCCAAATTAAAACAATGGTTTCTCTTGGATAGGTCCTTCTAACACTGCAAGTTATCTTCTATAAATATTTTTTAAAAAACCAGCTTCTGATGCCACGAAAAGGCCAAAATCAGAACTTAATGGCCTTGATGTCTATTCAGCAGGTGTTCTTTATTGCAGCGCTGGGCACACCTGGGATGGCTCCACCTGGTGCGTGCCCCAAGAAAGGCCAGACGTACAGCTTTTATACTGTTGAGATACACACATTCGCGCAATTTCCAAAAACTCACTGACATGTTGCTGCCCACTCCCGTATGCATAATACAGTCTTTTGGTGGTCGTCAGGGGTCTCTGATGGTTGTTTTACTTCATCATGATAGTCTTCATCGGGGTGTCCTGTTGATGGGCTCCATTCAGTTAACCTCTTGACTTTGTTATGAGACCCCAAAGCTGGCTTGGGCTGGTTCTGCATGTCACACTGGCATTTGGGAGTGCTGGGGCATTCCATCTTTGAAGATAAGAGCATCCTGTCCTCGGGGATAAGCTCTGCTTGTGGAATACCTGTCTCACACCTCCCTTCTGTTTGCCCAAGAGTATTGAGTCTCCTACATAACACCTAAAACTACAGTTCTGGCTAGAAGTATGGCTCCAGCTAAAACCACGGCTTCACCTCCTTCACTTACTATTGAATTTGTAGTTCTCCAACTTTCATGTGTGACAGAACTAAGGCACCATGATTTTCCTCTTGATTACCCACATCCATTACTATGGCAAAACTAAATGTGTGATTTTAAGCCCATTCTAAATCTGCGCTCAGATAAAAGCCCACTAAGTAATTTTTGCTAAAAATCAATTTCTGAAAATCTGGTTCAAGAAGATAAAAACACAGCAGGTACAGTATAATAACAGTTCCTCTGAACTTCAGTGGAAACCATTTCCTTGCCTAACTTGAGAGCAATCCAAACAAACAGAACCGGGGAAAGACATGCTAAACGCCCTCAATCTTCTACACTTTGTTTTGCCTGTCCACAGTTTCAAGATAGCCCAAACTTCCAGTCTCTTAAGCCCAGACACTTTAACTAAGAGTAATTAACCTCTGTTCTCGAAACACCTAAAGATAGTATTTTAAAACTATAGTAGAATGTTGGCAGTATTTTATAACACTCGTGAGCTCAACAGGGCAGATGGAAGTCTTCCTAAATGGTCTCTTAAACTTCCTGACAAACAACTGAGTTAAGACAGGATTAGTCATTGCAAGTTTCCACCTGAATCCACAGTCATTAAAATCTTATTTCTAGAACCACCGACATGCAGATGCTTACCAAACAAGCCTTGTTTTCTCATTTCTGCATTTGGCTGCTGCTGGGAGGGGTGTTTCTAAAATTGTAAGCTGCATACCCATCATGCATGTGCAAAATGTAATTAACCATGCATACCCACCAGGCTTGGCGTCCTTGTAAATCAGACTCTCCAACCCATACAAGGACTCTCGTGAATGGGTGCCTTGGTCCACATGGCAGCAAATAACCAAAAAAGTGCACTTTGTTTAAAAGAAGGCAATCTGCTTCTGATTTAACGCTGAGTTTATAAAATGCGTATGACACATCAGTACTTCTGTTACACTATCTGACAGACAGTCACTTCAGAATATGTACCTTCAAAGATTATCTACATAAGCAAAACACGCAATTTTGATTTTAGCTATAACCAGCATAAGGTAAGAGTTGAAAGTTTTGGTCTCCACATACAAATTTTGACACTGACGGATTTTAATAACTTAGAAAGTAGAAAATAAGGTTTTCTCCCACTGTACCAGCAGAGCTTGTTATCACTTCCCCATCACACTACACTAACCACACATTGACGTGACCATTTTGCTCAATATTTGAATAGCATGTCCAAGAAAACACCCCAGGGCAGTTTAGGATACTATTAAATCAATGCAAGTACTGAATCGAGATTGTAAACACATTAAAGGAAGTTGAGTACTAATCAGAAAAACAAACAGAGCTGAGAATTCATAGACCCTGATAACTTTCCATTTAATACGTTTCCTAGATTTTCATCACTATGAAAAACCTACACAAAGAGATGAATTTCTTAAGTTTATGGTGCAGCAGAGTAACTTGGGCCCAAAGACTTCTGTATCTAGCAAAAGCAAGGGATTTGCTCATGCAAGAGCCACACAAGTCCCCCTGTGTACAGTACTGGAGCATAACACCAGAAGTACAAGACTGAGATATCACAGAATATCTCAAGTTGGAAAGGACCCATATTGATCATGCTGCACTGCCACTGGGAAGATAACTACAGTTTAAAATAATTAATTTGAATGTTCCTGTAGCTTTTCCTCCACGAGGGCAAAAGTTTAAAACTGCAAAACATGACTAAATCTAATTGAAGTACTTCTCATAAGGAGTTGAGCTACTGAGGTATCATTTTAACATTTTTTTCAAAGACTTACAAATGCTGGATGTACTAAATTTCTTTCAAAAAAAACAAAACTAAACAAAAAAACCTGACTGTCACAGGCAGACTCAATTGTAATTTTATCAAGTTCCAGAACTGGAATTCCTCAAGCAGTGCTCATCAGTTTAAACTCTTCTTGCTACATTATCCCTGCTAATGGTGCAAAGAATAAAGACTGAAACGCTGCTGCTTCACATCCAAGTCCTACATAACCAAAGTTAAACCTCTAGGCGCACTCCTTTGCCCCAGTAATGGCTGCAAAATTAATTCACCCAAGTTGTCTTAACTCTCATGCAGTCTCTGGCATATTAACAAAGCAAGGCTTCCTTCTTCACAGTAAGTGGATTGCCAGATTGCTGTTTGAAGGGAACTCCAAATGCACATGTCAAACTAGCAAAGCAGGAACAAGGCAATAGGGAGTCCTGTAACTGCAGAATTAAATAAGCAAAGAGATTACAATCAAGCTACCTTGTTCCAAGTGTTCTAAGGGTCATTTCCTTTTCTGTAACTTTTCCACGGAAAATGACTTGTGGCATTAAAGGTATCCTCGAGATGCACCTTAAGAACCATTACAACACCCAACTGGTCTCACTTCAGTAATAATTTCGCATATCTAGTTACCTGTCATTGGTTCTGAGCTTGGTTTCTGTCCAAACAAGCCTAACTTATACCATAATTTTGTTAGAGATATTTGTTATGACAGAACATTGGAGGGAAAAAAAAAAAAAACAACAAACACATACAACCCCAAAACCTGCAAATCAGGTTGACTGGACTGGAATATTCAATTATTTTAATGCATAATTTGCAGTTTAAAAAATTTACTTAAACTTTTGATCTAGGTAGTGAAAGTTGCCTATGTTGATGTTCCCTTGTTTTCTTGTGTCGTGATTTATTCCCTGCTCAAGAGTCTCATTTCTCAAACCAGTCAAAATGGAGTACATTATAGAAGGACAGCAGAAACTGAAATGAAGGCATTATTGTTAAAGTAAAAATTTACCAATCTTGCCACTTTCACAGGTTTCTTTAAGTAAAGAACAACCTGTCACACACACACCTCTAGAACACATTATTAAACATCTATTACCGAAGCTCTAAAGCAAGACAATAGTAGCCTCATGCAATGCAGTTTCTATCTTTGGTCCTATTACGCTAGAGCTTAAAGGAAAACACACACACACCAAGTTATCAAATTTCCATTTCTAATGGAAGCTGACTTGATAAATGAATGATAAAACAAAGCAAATAACATTTTTTTAAGCTTTAGGGGAAAAAGGTTTTTCAAAGCACTGTAATAAGATTAGATAGACAATTGCAAAAACAAAATTTATTAAGTCAATCACAAAACAGGACTTCTCTTTCATAGCACACTAAGTCCTTAAATTCCAAGATTTGCATTAACTCGGTACCTTTTTCTGCTGCTTTCTGCAAGGCTTCCTCAATTCTTGCCAGTTCCTTTTGTTTATTATCCTGCAAGTATTTTTCTTCCTTCTCTGCATCATATTTAATGCCTGTAAGCCAAGTTGGGACAGTTTTAATCCTAAATTTCAAGTTATAGAAATGTGTAATCATGCAGTGCAAACCACCTTCAACATCATGTTGCAAAACACCTTGTCTGAGATAAAGATTTAACTCCTCAGGGCTGCATCCAGCCTCTGAGATTATTTCTACACAGTAAGACACAAAATGACCACACCGATGTTTAATAACCACTCCGAAGGAAAGCCTGTCCACAGAAACTTGAACCTTTAAGGGTGCTCTGAAAAACATAATGCATGTTCTACTACACACATATTTGATGCTCTAGAAACTCGCAATTTTTCTTAGTAAACCAGAGGTTCTAATTTCAGAGAAAACTAATCAAGTTCTCTTCCCTCTCCCTAAACACAGTTCTAACGGAATTACTACTTTCAGTTGCTGTCAGTTAGAAGCTCATGAACTCTGTCATGCAACAGCCATAAAAGTGGATTTAGGATAAGCACACTTCAGAGGAAACTCGGCTGCTCAGCTGAACGTGGAATGGATACAACCAAAGATTTCCATAGAAGCAACAGGTGCTGTTTTCTGCCACCCTTCCTCCACCAGCTTGCCAGAATTTATCTGGAAATTTCCCTCAGGGAAGGGAATGTAAAAATGGCAACTTTTTCATACACTCATTTACATGGTGCTCTTCAATATTTTTCTCTTCCATTATTTAACAGCGTTAATGAAGAGTTTACATACTTGCTCCAGGAACTACAAGAAGATACAAGCCTTCCAGAGTTGCAACAACTGCCTCGCCATAGAGATTCTTCCAAGGAATCTTCAGAGTAAGTTTATCTAAACAAAGCAGATAGTTACATCAAAACAAAATTCTATGCTGTGCTTAGTCCAAACACCACCACAGGCAAAAGACATTAGTCCTCTACCTTGATGTCCTAAAGACCTTAGAAAATAAGAAGAAATCGTATGGACCTAGTAATTTTATAAAGCCCTTGAAGTGATCAAATACATGCAGAGAAAATATAAGTCATAGATTTAAGGAAGAGGATGCAGTCTGAGTCAAAAGACTTCAGATCAAAAACCTGCTATCATGACTGGAGTTCAATTCCCTAGGATGAACATGACATTCCCAGGGAAGAAAAAATACAACACACGTTCATCTCCAGCACGTTTCATGTGAAAAAGCAATGCTTACCATCAGGGAAAGGAATTCCGAAGAAAAGATACATCTACAAGTTCCTAAACCCTTCGCGCATTTTCCAGTCTCAGGAATCTTACTTCAATTCTACATATTCTTAATCTGTCCTTTAAAGCACCACACACATTTTGCCTATACTAAACAGCTCCCCTGATCACCCATGCATCTGGGAAGAACCTCTCAGACACACTTTTCACATCAGCCTTGTAACTTGTGCAAAGTTACACCCCCAGGATCTGCCAGATAACATTTTATGATTTATCTGAGGCAGTCAGATTAGACTTCTATGCTTGCTTCAACAGTGAGCACAATTAGAGATCACTTAAGAAAGCTCAGCGGCAGGATTGAACTTAAGGCCTATATTAAAATTTCAATTTAAATAGTCATATTGAACTAAAAACTTACCTATCTGACCAACTTTTATTCTAAAAGGTACATTCAGTTCACTCTGTAATGAAAAAAAAAAAATATTAAACAGATCCATGTATTTTAAAGATGGTTTATACAAACAAAATTATTTTCTTTACTTCTGTTAAACTTATTTTCCCAGAACTGAAGTTCCAGAACAGAAACAGTTCTCCACAAAACAGAGATTTAATTACTCAGAAATATTCACGTGAACTGATGAATCCATAAATATGATTAGGCTTGCAGAAAGACTTAAAACAAAGCATTTACACCATCCCTGGACATATTTAAAAGACCTGTAGATGTGGTGACACAGTTTAGTGGTGGACCTGGCAGTGCTGGGTTAACGGTTGGACTCAATGATCTTAAAACCTACACAATTCTATGATTTCTGGCAATTCTCTTCTACGAGTATGATAACGTCTCGCTTCAAAGGTTACTAAAAAGTAAAGATTTATCTATATACAAGAATTTTACATTTTTATTAATTTGCTCTATAGGTATTTTCTTTCTGATAATAGCACTTCGTGGCAACATTGACCACCACTGGAAGGACAGGACCATGAGCTTCACCTTGAAAAACTAGTTTTCAAAAGATTAAATTCCAAATGAGGGGAAAAAAATAAGGAAAGGCTAGAATTTGAAGATATTTTAAAGCTGTTGAGTAAAGACAGCAGATTAACATAAATTAAAAACCATAAGAGCACTGGAGTTTGATGTTAACATCAAAAAAAAAAGATGATTTAGTGAAAATATTCAAGACTATAACTGAGAAGAAACAGGCAATATTAGCTTTGAAGATTAAGAGCTGTGACCAACTGGATACCAGATACAAATTTACACGTAAAAAAGCTCAGAGTTCAAGCTTTTTGATGGTAATGACTAATAACAAAGTTGAGACACATGTAACAACTTGCTAAAGAGCTCAGGTCATAGTTTGTCATCAGTCATTTTTCATTATGATTGAAAAATACGATAAAGCTGAAGAAATCTATTGGAAAGAATTCGTTACTAACACTACTGTAAGTTTTTAACAAAGTAGAAAAGGAACATTAGTAGCGGCTGCCCCATTGTACTTGGTTTTTTGTGTGACTTCAGCTATAAAAATAGACAATAGCCTCAAAAGATAAAAGTAGATATTTCACAGAATGACACTTCAGCACTTTCTGTTGGAAAACTAACATATTCCTGAGGGAAAAAAATGGTTACATTTTCAAGGTCCCTAAGAATGTTGGCTTCCCCATTGTACTTGTCTATTTTTACAGCTGAAGTCACACAAAAAACCAACAGCCTCAAAAGATAAAAGTAAATATTTCACAGAATGATATTTCTCAGAATGGTTACATTTTCAAGGTCCCTAAGAATGTATTTGTAAAATAATTTTGTAAAATTTTATTTAAGAAATTTTATACTTACCTTCTTGAGTTGACTTTGCATGAGCTGAAGCATAAATTTTGACTGAGATCTGATGAACTTCAGTTTTAATGAAATGCTCTTTTATTATGACCAAGGATAAAAAACGGATTCAGCAAGCCTAACAGTAGAAGTAATTATTTGCTTGTCTCCCTTTTCCTAAGGACTTTCTTTGCTAACATTTGAGAAGTACTGTATCTGTATACAGCAATTAAAACATAGTTATTTTCTGGTGGAAAACCTTAAGAGGAAAACAAAACCAATCCAGACAGCAGCAGACAGGCAAACCACAAAAGCAGAAGTTGGGAATCTATCACATTCCTTTTATCCTTTCTTTTTCAAAGTGCAAGCTGCTTCTGTAAAAAAAGTGTTCAATATCAATCATCCTTCAATTGTTTTTGCCTAGAAATCCAACATATTGCAATTGTAAAGTAGTCAGAAACATTTCGTTTTCAGTTCTCCAATCTGTCTTAGCTTGCTCTCAGCTGTACTCAGCCACATAAGACGACTGCATTTTCCTAAGTGAGAACTGCTTAAAACATAACCAACCTTGCTGTCATTGTAAGGAGGAAAGACTTGTACAACGTAGATAACACTTTCTTCCTTCCCTTTTTAACTATCAGATTACAAAGATACTTGCATCAGGAGTTTTATAGCACAACAAAGTTATCAGGAATGGATGAAATGGGCAGGAAAAGCATAAAACCTCAAATCAATGAAAAGAAACCAGTGATGAGGTCATACAAAGATCCAACATGTTCTGAATTCACAGAAGAGTAGCCATTCCCTTTAGTCAAGTTTGAAGCAGACTAAAGACTGCAGTGAGATTCTCTCAGTAGTAGAGTTCATTAGCTCAATTAAAGAACTTAAAAATCAGCCAAGTTTTTGTTTGTGGGTTTTTTAGACAAGAACATGGGTACTTAATACAAGTTTTGTCTTTGTTTTCCTTTACTCAGTCATACCTATTTTAAAAGGAAAAGAACTGAGAATTTGAACAACCACATTTACTTTCATTGAATACACATCTTAATGCCTGCCAGTTTTAATAAGCACCTATTAATAAGCAGTGAGCCATAAACGTAAGCTTCAATCCCAGTAACTGATGTAGAAGGACGAACTTTTCCTCCCTGCATCAACAACTGAGAAAGGAAACACTGGCTTTCAAAAGAGTTCAGTTAGATCAATCCATTCGCAGGATTCAAGCCTTGAAAATCCATTTCTTCAAACAAAGCCAAAATAAATTTTAAAAAAAATTATATATAGGCCTATGTAAACCCATTAGAGCTAATAAATCATTCAGAAACGTATAAACATCTACTGCATGGACATACAAGTGAGGGAAAAAAACTCTATGACTTCATAGAATTATCATTATACAGCAGCAGTCACAGCAGAAATTAAATCCTTTTAAGTTGTACTGGATGACCAAACACACCAACATCTTACCTGAGGCTTTAGCATTTCCAGTCTCAAATACTAGAAGAGGTCATGTAGGCACGTACAGATAAACACTGGGAAACTTACTTCAAAACCCTATTGCTAACTTCTCAGAAACTATTTTTCTCTTTCAGAAAAGAGCACATTTACCTTTTCAACCATAGCTTATTTTCTTTCTCTGCTCCAGTAACAAAAGCAAAAATCAGAAGCAGTTAACTAAGGACTTTCTTCCAATAACCAGTAAAAAATGCATACTGTGTAACAGTAATATTTATATAAAGGAATATTGTGTCCTGTGACTTAGTCTTTAGACTCATAAAAACAATTTTAAAATTACTAGAATACTTACTAATGCATTCTCCTTGATCTGTAAATTGTCAAGTGCCACATTACCTATTTATAGAAGAAAAAGAGAAGTAAAGAACAAATGACTTCAACTACTATGTAAGCTGAAACAAGGAACACAACTACAACCCTCCAAAGTACACATGGATAAAATCAGAAAACCATACACCAGTTACAGAATCACAAAATAAATGTCTAGCTTGTCAGGGTTGTTAAACACCAATTATTCAGACAAAATTTCATGGTGGAAGAGATTACAGAAACATCACCAACTTAAACACCTGCATGCTGCTACAACTGCAAAAATGGGAAATTCTCATTATTCACTTTGCTGTGAATGGTAATTATGATTCTACGAAGGCAGGGTAGACTAGAAGGTAGGTCGACTTGCTTTTTATTTTACGTTGAAAAAAAAAGTCATGAATCATAAAGCCACAGAAACGCATTCCCATTTTTACAAACACAGTAGCTTTTCCCAGCACAGGCAACATAACAGGCTTCCCAAAGGGAATACTTGCACACAGAACTACACCTGAGGGAAGCACAGGTAACGTACCTCTCAGTGCTTCAAGTGCCATATTCCTTAGAGCTATAGTATAATAACTCATAAATGTCAGAATACACAGCAGGAGCAAAAATAAGATTACGAGAAGAGTCTCGTGCCTTATGTATGGAAGCCATCTAAGATGACCAGCCTTGCCTAGGCATCCTTCCACTGGTTTTCTGCGTGCCAGCAGTGCAGCAAACTGAAGTGTTTGATATATTCACTGAGAACAGGTACAGTGCGCTACCACGACACTTTAATACCCATGATTTACACCCAAAAATCAGCTGGTGTAAGGCAGCCCTGCAAGCTGCACCCCAACCAAGGCCTCGCCTCCTGTTGGGGCCGCCA